CTATCATAAAAGTCACTTTCTCATTTATTTATTTCAACTCCTGGTTGGACTCCAGTGGGAGAAATAATCCAAAATAGTGGATAATCCAAAAATGTCATTTATATTTGGCTTCAGAATGCAATACCAGATGTTACTCTAGCAGATTTCCCTTCCTAATTAGGCCTCACTTAAAGTAGGAGTTAATTTTGTCTTCATTAGCTGCTTCCAAATCAGCAAGATGGGGCAAGTAGGAAGCCCAAGGCATGCTGGGTATTTGGGAGGAAGCTGGACCATTGCTAAAAGTCGGCGGTAGATCACCCTTTCAAATATGGGCAATCAAGACAATGGGCATATACACTAGAAATGTTTATTGAGCCTCATCTTGAAGGATTCTCAGGCTTTCGTCCATTCTTTTTTTTCCTGCCTATTAACCATGAATGCAGAAAAATTCTGTCCTAGGAATTAGGCAGATAATAACCTGAATTTGTATATAGAAAAAAATAGAGGCTCACAGAGGTTAAGTGACCTCTCACATAGACTGATCTCTGAGTAAACAGTACCTAAGATACTGAAACTGATTAATGAATGATAAGAAGACCCCACTGTTTCCTTCTTATTGATGATTTGAATAATGAGGAAGCAGGAATTCTCCTGGCCTAATTCGCATTAAGAGAGCTAAGATAATGAAGCTGTGATTAAATGGCTATTAAACTATTTTTATCAAACAGAGATCAAGCGAGTGTGAGAATCTGGGGACGCAGAGTGTAATTGCAATTCTACAAGATGTGGAAAAAATTACTATCATAAGCAGGGCATGGTCCTTCCATAATAGCCTGCATTTAAAAATCTTTGGGATACCACATGCCGCTTTCACTTTGCAGTTCTCCCGTCAGGTGTCCAGTAACATCCTGGAGTCCCTCATTTCCTCCTTAATTTAGTAGATTTATTCCCTCTCTATGCACTTGGGTGAGCTCAATGCACTGTTGGCCCCACCATGTGTAATCAGTTGGAAGATCCTTTTGCCAACTGCTCACAAGGGAAGAAGGCCCAGATATTATGTCCTGGACCCCAAATTTCAAATTTGAGGTGACTCTGAGGACTCGAAGATGCAGAATCTACCTTCCTTTAACTGTGCCCTTTGAATTATATCACACTTAGGGCAGGTCAGATAGGGACCCAGCAGTCCCAACGAGCAGTAATGAACCAAGTGTTCTGAACTATCGTTTGTTAATGACAGAGCATTGCTTCGGAATTGCTGCCTGTTCTGAATTTTGGGTTGTTAGTATACATGTACGTGTATCACCTGTCAGTGGAAATTCTTTACAACGTGAGTATCTGTGGAATCGGCTTCTTTACTCCAGGAGCACCCTCCGAGAATGAGCGTGACTGCCACACGAACCTGTATTTCGGTGGGAAGGAGAGCAGCAGTCTTGCCTTGTGTAAGGAGAGCCCAGGGTGGACGCCCAGCATAGCTGGAGCAGCTTGAGAGTCGCAGAGGTCCCCTGTGGAAATGCCTGTTGGCCTGTTCCCTACCTTTCTTTCCCTCTCTGCCACCACCTGCAACACTGAGCTCAGCTGTGTAGCTTTAGATCACTACCTAACTGGTGACCTGCTTTCTCTTTTTCACCTCTCTGCTCTTCTTTTCTTAACTTTATGGAGCTAATAAGTATATTTTTGTAAAAACAGTAATTTTGAACAATTAGAAAGCGGTGTCAGAGCAGAGTCTTTGAAAGGTTATTTTGCAAAGTCATTTTACTGCCTGATGTATTTCCATGGCCCGTCACCTGTGAACAGACATGTGTTGGTAGGCCAGAGTGCTTCATCTGCTGTGACTTTGATTTATTTGCTCTGTAAATTGGGACTGAAGCAATAATGGGAAGTGACATTAATTGTTTACCCGAGTCCTTTTTGTCACATCCATTGCCTTCTCTGGAGTGTTTGATTGTTGAAACTCATGCTAAACTAATTGGAATTGCCACAGTGAGGAGCAATGTCCACTCAACTTTACATACAGGACTATCTGTTGAGCTTCAGAACAAAAATGTCATCGGGAAATATCTTAAATTGTTCCCCAGTCTTCTACAATTAGACAAAACACAGAATTTGAAATAACATTCTTTCCTTCCATAATTCAAGAGCAACTTTACTAAAATAAATGGTCTCTGAGCCCCTCACTGAGTCAGCCACATTTCTGATGAACATGGGCTCTAAATAAGGATTACAGCCCTACTGGTCTGTCCTGGTTGAATAGCAGCCTACCCTACCACATACCCCATCACATACACACACTATCTGCCAATCTTCTATCCCACAACCCTCCCTCCCATTGTGGTTCCAGTAGAGAGAATTTAAATAGCTGTGGTTTAATCAGATCTTGTAAATTAATTATGACATTATCAGGCTCCAATATTTCTGCCATTGTTTTTGATGTACATTCACCCGGGCTTATTAAAGAAATTGGAGAAAACTAGTTAATTTAAGTGTTCTTTGTCATTCTGACTTGATTGGAATTATTGTAGTTTGTTTACACTAGGGATAGAACTAAGGCGCTATTGTATTATGTGATTGAAAGCAAATAGAGGCTTGTAGTGTTGCTGGAAAGCCAAATACAAAATTTAAATCGGAGTAAACAAAATTACTCATTTATTGGTAAACATTCTGAACTGTTTTTCTTGAGCTATTTTTGAACTTCAGTGAAATAAGCCTTTCTGAAAACTGGGATACCTGGAAAAAAAGTCCAATTTACTGAAACCGTGTGTGCGTGCGTGCGTGCGTGTGGGCGTGCGTGTGTCCTTGAGAGATCTTCAAAGATTATTTTTATTAGATACTATGGATATATTTACATTAATGTAAATCTCATGATTTGGGATGATTTAAAATAATATGTATTTAATTTAAATATAATTTCTATTTAGGACAGATGAATAACCTGAATTTGGTTTTTCGTATGTTGGGGGGAATCTGAATTGAAAGCGGAGAGATTGGAATCTTTGGATGCTAGATTATGATCCTGGGCAGAAAATAAGTGAAAATCATTTCAGTATATTTATTATTCAGATTACATGGGCAGATCCAGGAGAATTGAGGCTGGGTGGTATGCTCAATAATGATTTGTTATTAAATCAAGCAGTTTGATTTTTAAAGAATCAGTCAGTTTCTGGAAGAATGGTGCCATTTTGAAGTTAACATTTCACTCCCCCCCATTAGGATTTACCTCCTGCAGTGGAGTCCTCAAACTCAGAAAGTTGTCATTCCATCCCATGTGCCCAAAACCACTTGACTCACAATGTGAAGTCCAGGGGCATTTGGGAGACACATTATGCAAAGGTAAGAAATGCTAGGAAAGTCTACCATGAGTACAAATGGCTCTTTTTGGCCTCTCAAATCCAAAAGAGAAAGAAGTCTGTAATTTTACTCCTGGATGAGGACTCATCAGTAAAGAGGGAAAACAATTTTTATGTGAAAAATAGAATGTATACGTGATAAAGGCCTGCCTAATTTCTCTAGTAATACAATTTGATTTTCTGATTAGCTGTCTTATTCTGTGATTCTTGTAATTTTGTCAGGTCAATTAACTGGAGTTCAGTGCTAGAGAGAAAGGACGTGTGGGCACTGCTGGCTTCATTAGATGTCAGCAGTTTAGGTGCATTTTGTAATAGAATCTGTGTGGGATAATTTAGCCGATATTGTTAATGTCATAGCATACAGAACTTTAAAAAAAAAAAGATTTATGAAGCAGGTCAAATTGGACAAACAATGTGAAATGCTAACAGAAGGAAGAGAAAGTGATCTGCACAACATATATTCTAGGCAGTAGATGCAGATCGATGAATTATTCAGCAAGTAATCAATGACCACACTGTGTGCCTAGCATTGGCACTGGTTGTCCAGGTGATGGGAATATAGCACATTTCCCTATAAACAGGGTATATAAGCTGGTACAGAGTACTGAAATAACTGTTATCTTTTATAATAAATTATTCACAGGTTCTTTCCTTCCACTGGAGGGTTTTTAGAGGGCAGAGGTCCATCTTTTTCTATCTCTAACACCAAACATGTCCCTGGTATAGTAGGTATGCAGATATGTTTATGGAATGAATACCTGAAGATTAACTTTCCAAGGGTGTACGGATGTGAATGATTGTGGGAGTTGCGGAAACAAGTTAGAATATGTTCGCAGGAGCCCCCATTCCAAGTAATGCCACACTAGAATCGTACCCTGGCCACAAGAAACGACTGCATTGAAGAGACATGACAAAGTAAGACTCTACTTAATGACAGACCAGATAAAGAGGACTCAAGATAGTTCTAGAGTTTGGGTCTGAAGAATTGTTACCCAAACTCAGGAAGTCAAGGGAAATAGCAGTTTTGTTGTGAAAGATCCTAAGTTTGGGTTTTGGAGGCTGAGGGAGCTATTATCAGGTAGAAATGTCCAGTGGGCAGTTCTAGATTTATGACTAAAGTTGGGAGAGATGTCAGGGAGGGAAATAAATGGCTGTGGAGTGTTCGGTGATGAGATTATAATGGTATGGTTTGTCTCCGTATAGTTTCAGTTTCTGGTGCTGTTCAAACAGAGGGTTATCTAAACATTTCGGCTGCACAGGAGATTGAAAGACTATATCTGAAGATGAAATAGATGATGGTGAAAATTCTCTCAAGTTCTAAGATTCTCTAGACCTTCTCCTTTAGTTAGGGAAAGAAGACACACCCATGGGGAAAGCAACTGCAAACAAGACAGCATCATATACGGCCGTAATACGCACCGACATCATAAATTGCCAACTTGGACAGCTCAGCCATCAGAGATTGGTACTGAGAGGTATCAGTTCATTGTGTGATTCAGACCAAAAGTGAATTTGGAGTTTGAAGAAGACATGATCTTTTGTGTTCCAGTGTGAGCATTCAAAATTTCACATACGGTTGACTCATTTGGATAAACATGACCCGTCCATGCTGATTGATGGTGTTACCTGTTCCCCAATGTCAACTCACTCACGTCGTCTATTTTTCTGTTTCTGCAGAAGATAGATGAAGAGAACGAGGCAAACTTGCTAGCAGTCCTCACAGAAACACTGGACAGTCTCCCTGTGGATGAAGACGGATTGCCCTCATTTGATGCACTGACAGATGGAGATGTGACCACTGAGAATGAGGCTAGTCCTTCCTCCATGCCTGACGGCACCCCACCGCCTCAGGAGGCAGAAGAGCCATCTCTAGTAAGAACCCTTCCTACTGTTTAACAGGAATTGGAGTTGCCTCTGGCTACCCGCTGCATGGGTATGATGTAGTAACAATAAGGTCTGGATTTTTAATTTAGACTGATGCCAAAAACAAGTCCCGAGCAGACTCAGAGTTGCAAATTCTGTGATTCTGTGTTTAAAAATGTTGGTAATAACAGTCTTCATGTGGTCTTACTACGGTTTTAACTTTTGCTATGTTTGTGTGTGTATTTTTATTTCTTAGCATTATTTATGTTCATGGTAGAAGCTTCGAAAACGTAGACAACCCAAAAAGAATAGACCAAAAATTCACCTGTAAAATCAAATAATCTCTGATGGGAAAAAAGATTGAAATCTCCTCTTGTTTTAAGATACATCATCATGTTTGTGAATTTGAAATATATGCATAATGGTTCATGTTACATATTATTTTATTGTTTGGAGATGTCCTGGTTCATTGAGAGATTTCTTGTGGCTGGATATTTAGTCTTTTTCCTATTTTTCACCATCATAAATTATATAATAATTGACACATTTATAGTTTTATTCTTATGCCTACGATTCTAGAAATAAAAGGCCGATCAAGGGATATGCAATATTTTAAGATTTTGGATCCATAATTCTTATGAAGATTGAAAAATAGTAGCACATTTGCAACCTAAGTTCCCTAAATTTATGGGAGGCAATGAAGAGTGAGTTTGTTGGCACTGAAGAGTAAATTTTCTTTTTGATGCAGTGCTTGCCCAGAATTTTATTAGTTCTAAGACACAGTTTACCTTCTCATCTATGGTGGCCATTTGTCATTTGCCATAAATCTGATGTAAGACTATACTATGTAAATTATGGAATGCTATCCTCCAAACTTTAATAATGTTCCTTGGCTTGCCATTTAGAGGTTGTTTCTCTCCCTTCTCTAAGTTTTTTAAATGTTAAAAGGATTTCATGTAAACATATGGAGACTCTGCTTGTACTGCTGTTCATTTAGAGATTTCTGGTTTAGAAGAAACTACCTCATAAGTAATCGCTACCCTCCCCCCAGCCCCACCATTTTTCCATTTGCTGTTGGCTTTGCTGTCTGGTACTTTGATGTCTTTACATTGATACCAGAGGATTTTCATCCACATAGTTGGTTCACCTGGGAGGGGTTGTTGACTCAACGTCATACCGCCTGTCCGACCAGGGAGGTCCTAGAAGGCCAGCAAGTCAGATGAAGAAACAGAGGTCAAGAAACAGTAAATGCTTTGCCTGAGGCAGAATCACATCTCCTGACTCTATTTACTTACAAGTCTTTTTCAGTGATAGCCACTCTTTTATCATAAATACCCTTTGAATCAGTAAAGTGAAACTGGATTGTAAAATATCATTCAAAGCATTACAGAATCTTTTATTTATTTTCACTTGATTCATTTGGGTTACTGAGGGGAAAATGTCCTATATTCTGTCCCCAACCCCCAATTCCTCATTTAGCAGTGCAACTTTTCTCAGCTAGTAGGTATTTGGAAATCCTTTTAGGAGGATCCTTTTTGTCTTATTTTATCCAAAAAAAAAAAAAAAAAAGGAAAAGAAAATCAAGGTAGACAATACTGAGTATCACATGTAGGGAAAAGAATACTTTCACAGTTGGTAGTGTAATGCCGAATTTTTTCTTACTTTTTAAAAATGCATTTCCTTTAGCACTATTGTGCCTTGGTGTGACTATAATTAAAGAGTGAGAGAATTAATTTTTATAATTAATTAATATTAAGTTTGAAATTTCAGTAACTTATTCTAATGCCTACAGGATGCATAACCTTTCTCGCTTTTCCCCTCTCATATATTTCTAGCTTAAGAAGCTCTTACTGGCACCAGCCAACACTCAGCTAAGTTATAATGAATGCAGTGCTCTCAGTACCCAGAACCATGCAAACCATAATCACAGGATCAGAACAAACCCTGCAGTTGTTAAGGTACAATGCAAACTTTTTTAATATAGGAGGGCAAGTAACAAAGGATTTTGCTTGAAGCAGTAAAACAAAAGATAGGTTTATTTCTATGCATTCAGCTGGGATCCTGCAGTTGCTTTATAATGTGAAACAATATGAAATGGGTTTCCAAAAGCAGCGCTCCAGCTACATTAAACTAGAAAGAGTTCATTGATGCTCTGTCTTTGGATGATTGGAATGGAAGTCCCACCGTCTGTCACTCCTTGCCCACTTTATTAATACACGCAGCAATGTGGGTTACAATAAAATTTGCTGCTAGGCTGGTATTATCTATGAGTGACTTTAAGATGCAGGATTGCCGTTTCTCCAGCTGTCTAACCTGAGAAAGATTGCTCTGGAATCACTGCAAAAGATCTATCTCTGCCATTAATTGGATAGAATGCTGGCAATGACATAATTCGGTTAGCGGGCTATATTAAACAATGTTTGTCTTGCCATTCACTGTGAGTGAAAACGGAGCGTTAGGGGGTACTTAAGAGAATTGTGAATACGGGACTCTAGCAATCAGTGGCAAATTAAGGTTTAAACCAGCTTATTTTTTTTTTTTATTCACAGTAAAGGCGCTATAGGGTCTTGTTAGTTACATGTTGCTGAGTAGGAACATTGAAATGTAGGAGAAATGAAATAAAAAGCTGCATAAATGTCATTTAGGAATTTTAAATGTAATTTTCTTTCCTTGTTCTGCAAACAATTATTCACAGCTCATAGATCTAGTACACTTAGACTGAACACTTCATTGAAAATCTCATCTCTTCAGAAAACCTATATCCATTCTGATAAGGTTCAGTTCACTAATTTTAGCTTTCTTTATGCCTTGTTTTTAAGACCGAGAATTCATGGAGCAATAAAGCGAAGAGCATTTGTCAACAGCAAAAGCCACAAAGACGTCCCTGCTCGGAGCTTCTCAAGTATCTGACCACAAATGATGATCCTCCTCACACCAAACCCACAGAGAACAGGAACAGTAGCAGAGACAAATGCACCTCCAAAAAGAAGTCCCACACACAGTCACAGTCTCAACATTTACAAGGTAGGCTGGGGACTAAAACACAAGGCAAAGCAAGCATGCACCTGGCTGGGAATGCCCAAACCTCAGGCTTTTGCCCCACTGCTGTCTCTCTGGAAAGGGGATTCAGCACTTTATTAGAGACTTATAAAAAAAAAAAAATCCTTCCTTGGACACAGGCTGACCATGTCCTATTCGGCTGATATGCAGCCTAATTCACAATCACCAAAAAGCACCTGAAATGTGAGCTGGGTGGGGAGGGGGTGGTGAAAGGTTTATGTGAAATCTGAATTGCCGAGATAATTGAAATTCGGAGCAAGCTGGGCTAGCCAATAGTAAAAAGCTGTTCTTTTTTTTCCTTTCTAATAATGGAAAGAAAATGAATCATTGTTGATTTGTTGTATACACCTTAAAAAGGAGCACATGGTATTTGTGCAGCCTCTCCTGATTAAGTGCATTCGTTTTTTTTTTTTTTTTTTAAAGACCACATGTTATACTCATAGATTTTATTTTGTAAATAAGGATTTGGAAATCCCTGGAATTTATTTGTATTTGCTTTCTATTAAAAAATATTGCCCAGATCAAACTAGGCATCTGGGTTGATGTTTATTGTCCCCATACATTCTAGAAGGCTGATGCTTCTGAGGCAGATCAGAGTGATTTGGGGAAAACCTGTTTGGCAGAGATATAATTTTCTTTCTTTTTGGCTCTTCCCTCAAAATCGTCCTGTCTTAGAGGCCCAAAGGAAGCTTGTTGAAAGTTGCGGTTGCTTGAAAATATCTCAGCTTCCACGTTAACCCTACCTTTAACCTCGTGATGGAAGCAGGCATAGTCTTTTTTTATTTTTATTTTTATTTTTTGAGATTTATTTATTTATTTTAGAGGCAGTGAGAGAGAGAGTGTATACAGGGAGGGGGAGGGAGAGGGAGAGAGAGTCTTAAGCAGACTGTGCGATGAGTGTGGAGCCCAGCGTGGGGCTTGATCTCACATCCTGGAGATCAGGACCCCAACTGAAACCAGGATCAGATACTTAAGCGACTGCGCCACCCAGGCGCCCCAGAAGCAGGCATATTCTAACATAGCAATTACAAACACCCACTTCTTTTTTCCCTTTTGTTTCCCTGACTGCCCCTTCCAGCTGCAGAGTGGTAGTCCCTGATCCCTGTTTTGAACCATGATTATTTCATACAGGTATGCTGTTGCTCCTGGTTTTAATTAGTATTTTCTTTCCAGTGTTTTCGGTTTCCCTCTCTCATCCCTACCCCACCATAAACCTTCAGGAACCTTCTTTTAAAGTTTTAAATTGGCTCTCATTTAGGTTTTCCCTGGTGGTTGTCTCAGAATCCCTCGGCCATCCTTTTCTGTCAGTTCAGGGAAAAGATATTTATTGAAATGAACCACATTTTTTCTGCAGCTCGCCTTGCCCTGATTGGCCCCTCACGCACTATGCGCTGGACCAGTTTTCCTTAGAGCAAAACCAGCAGTGCTATGGGATGCAATGGTGTGGAGAGCCTCGGGTGAAGGGAAGGCAGCTGAGCTCAGTCTAGTGAGTGGACTGAAAAATTCACTGGGCTACTGTCCACCTTGTACTAGTGTGTCCCAGTCAGGCGTTTATTTTCTGGAGCTAAATCTGAAGTCCTCAGCCAGCTATAACCCTGTAGTCAGTGAACCCAGGCCAGCGGCACATGTTTTAAACATTTTTTTAATTTACATATTCTTAAAATTGTATTTGGCCCTTTTGGATTTTGAGAGTTTGGGAGGTTTTTAGGTTTGTTTTTTAGATCCACTTACCACTAATATTACTGAAAAGTCTTACAAACCATGGCAGTGAGGACTTAAATTAGCCTGTGGAGGACATATTCTTTAGATGAGACCTGCTGTATGCGGATTTTTTTTAGAAAGATATATGCCTGTGGCAAAGCATAAAAAGTTTATCCCCAAACAAAGCCTGTTAACAAAAACACAAGAAAACAAAACCAAACAAACAAAAACCCCACAAAATTCCTATCGTTATTAAAGGCCAAGAACAAAATAAACATGGCTGGCTGTGAATAACCAACAGGAAATAAATGCTCAGCTTCAGGATTTATTTAAATTTTGATTCAAACTTTAAAAGTAGAATCTATATTAACGATTAGAGACAGTAGCCCAGGATCCACTGAGGTTTATCCTTTCTTGATGTATCATAATGTTCTTTCACTGAACTGCATGTTTGCTGTCTGTGATATTGTGGGGTCAAGTTCTTTTCACTTCCTTAGGATAATGGCCTGAACTTTGGCTCATGTTGGTGTCTCCTGTATTCATTTATTCATTCATTTGCTAATGTATTCATTCATCAAAAAGACCATGATCTGCATGAAAAAAATACATTCCTGCCCTCAAGGATCTTAGAGGCCCTGGTCTGTCCATCATTGGAATAGTGTGCATTAAACTCCCAGTAAACCAAATCAGTGCTCCTCTCATGGTAGCTTTTGTGTGTGTGGGCATATTCAGGGATGGCCTTCTGTACTGTATGTGCTTTGGGGCTGAACCTTCCTATAGCCTTCTCTTCCTGTTTGCCATCGGTCCCATTAAACATGGCCGCTGCCCAATGCTGCCCTTCCAGTGCCCTTGCCATCACCTATACCCAACTGTCAGAATGTTAGGGATCTTACTTTGAGCATTTCGGAGAGCCTGCCCTACACCTTGAAAGCTGGAATCCCAGAGACCAATTTTCAATGTATATATACTGTGTATAGTACACAGTTCATATCTAACGATACTTGCTATGGAGCCTGTATGCATGATCCTAATTATGAGTTGAACGCCGAAAATGTTGGTAAATTTCCTTCATGAGTGTGTTCTTTTGGAAAGGCTCATTATATCAGACATACTAAAAAAATTAATCTAAAACCAGTTCATTTATCTGTATATATAAAAGCCAATCAATCAATGTACCTAATTTGTAGAAGACAGCGTGAACTTCATATTTCTGGATGCACATTGGATAGATGATAAACCATTCAATTGTTTAAAAAACTAAATCTAAATCGACAAATTAAATATGTAAATACTATTTATCCAAGTAAAGTATGTAATTTCAGCCTAATTTGGACATAAATAATATTTTCACATTTCAAAGGACCTTAATTACTGGGGTTGATTAATTTACTTTAATATCTATTGAATGCAATTCCTTTTGGTAATAGGAAAAAGGAAACATATTCTGGGCTAACTCTGCCAGTAACTAGTTTTATGGCCCTGGAAATATCATTTCACATCTTTAGGTCTCAGGTTTTTCATCCATAAAATGAGAGTTTATTCTAAAGAACTTTTTAGTTTCAAGTCTATGATTTTCATTACGTAAATGACTACCTCTTGACCTTTTGAAAGTAGTTATGTTAATGAGAAAAAATTGACATAAACCTACATACATATAAATATATCTTTATAGATAAGCATATATATATATACATAATATGTGGATGTATATCCCAAGTACGTTTCTCATCATGTTTTCCCCTCCTTCTGTTCAAAATACAAGACTGCCAAGGAGAAGCAATTGAAATTTTGGAGTGAGAAGAAGATTCTTACTCCACCCTTCCTAATTGGGAAATGCCTCCTGTAGGAGGTAAGATTTAGGAAGCATAAAAGGAAGTAAATGAGCTCTCTTTGAAAGTCTATAGGTCTCTCAGCTGATAAATGCAGTATCTTACTTTGTCTCTAAGATTTGGGGATCTGAACCCCCTTTAAACCATCTGGGTCAATGTCCACAATTTGCCATAGTCTCTCAATTAATTTTCAGTAAATGGAATGGTTATTGCTTGAGCTTTGGCCTCATAGAAATAACCTATTCTCAGGGCTAGGTATAAAATTATACATTTTAGGAGAAAAATCAACTGAATATTCATAACGTTCTGTTGTCTTATAGTTATTCTGCTGTTTTCTTGTCTAAACAAACCATGTACTATATTCCAAATTAAAATAGAAAACATTATTTCTCTCTGATGGTATGATGCAAATTTTGTATCCTTAACAGAGATGCTACATTTTGGGGAAAATTCTGTTTTTGTATGTGTTTTTGAATGATAGTTTACCGATGCAAATGTTGTTTGGAATTTGTTTTAGAATATGGACTGTTGTCTGACTTTGATCCAATATTCAGGGATTTCCTTATTTTAGTTTTCCAGTTTCCAGTTTCCAACCTGATTGTAGTAAGAAAAAAAATTCTAAAAAAAAACAAACCCTCAAAAACTCAATATTTCATAATTAGTTTCCTTTTTTTTCCTTTAGCCAAACCAACAACTTTATCTCTTCCTCTGACCCCAGAGTCACCAAAGTAAGTATTAAGAAATGTAACCATTTTCAGAAAGGGAAGGGGGTTCTAATACATTTGGCTACAGCAACTCCATTTCAGTTTGTTTTTATAAATGTGCCATATCTTCCAGTGACCCCAAGGGTTCCCCATTTGAGAACAAGACTATTGAACGAACCTTAAGTGTGGAACTCTCTGGAACTGCAGGTAAGCCTTACATTTCACTTGGAACTCTGTGTGTGTGTGTGTGTGCGTGTGTGTGTGTGTGTGTGTAATATGTATTAAATAATAGCACATATTCTCCATGTGATTAATGAAATTAACAAATAGTACAAGCAACATTGGATAAGAAGTTACCTATATATTTTCACTTCTTTTTTTCTTTTAAAGAGAAGACATTTATTGTGTGTCAGACCTGGGCCAGACCCTCTGATGTATACTGTTGCTTTAGATCCTTAAATAACCCTATGTCAGATTAAGACACCAAAACTCGAGCAGGAGAAGAAAATAACATTTATTGGTCTCCTACTCAATAAATGTGCCAGGCATGTAAGTGGTTTTGACTAGTTTCACAACAACCTCATGAAGACAGTGGTAATTTTCTCATCTTTAAGATGAGGATATAAAGTTCAGAAATGTTAAGCAACTTGCCCAGGATCACAGAGCTAGAAAACAAGGAGCAAAGTTTTGAACGCCAGTTTATTCATTATATCAATGTTTTAATTGGAATATTTTCTCACTCACCATTATACTTAATGGTATAATGTCTTATATATGTTACCATTTTTATATCTTTTCAGCAAAGGAGAAAAATGAAAATGTGCCCATTCACCAAAACAAAATGTACTTAGATATTTTTAAACAAGAGTGATTTTCTTCGCCATTTGGACTTCTGGACTCATTTAGTCAGTCTTACTTTATGCTGAAGAGGAAGGAGCTTTAAAAGCTTGGAGCAACCCCTGAGTAACTTAATAATCCACAGACTTCCTAGGCAGACTTCTAAGTTGGGTGTAAATGGTGCCTTTGCACTGAGTGCTTTAGGTTTAGGTACAGAACTATACCAGAAAGTGAATCTTAGGCTGTCTGAACAAGAAGTTCCTTGGCTCTGGCCATTGCTGATAAGGGTAAAAGAACAGTAACTTAAACAAGATGCTTTCGACCAGAACTATAGTGCCTACATACACCATGGTCATTGTCACTAAGTTTAATTTCACACTTTGAGTTTGCTAAATTACCACCTTGTGAAAGGTCTACTGCATGATCGCATGATTTGGTCAAGCAGTAGAGTAGTTAATTTCATGGTATTTATATATATTCTGTGTGTGTGTGTGTGTGTGTGTGTGTGTACACATATACATATGCAAATATATACATGTCTTTATATGCATATATACATATATACACATATACTCACTTATAGGCATATACATAACATCATTTCTTAAATTGTAATTACTTATATGGTTATAAGTAACTTTTATGTATATATATCATATGCGGTAGAGACCTTCTTATCTGACCAATAAGAATGAGTATTTTGGTGTGTTTATCCAAAAAACTGATTAAAGTATATAGTTTTGTCATTTTACTTTTGCCTAAGTTGTATAAGGAAACATTCAAATATCAATTTGTTTTTGTATAAGAAACAGAGAACTTTGCCTTGAACTTAAATGTCCGAATTGGCAATCCATTCATCTTTCTGGCACAAACTGTAGTAATAATAATGTATCTTAGAGAGGTGCCTGGGTGGCTCAGTCGTTAAGCGTCTGCCTTCAGCTCAGGTCATGATCCCAGTGTCCTGGGATCTAGCCCCGCTTCAGGCCCCTGCTCGGTGGGAAGCCTGCTTCTCCATCTCCCACTCCCCCTGCTTGTGTTCCCTCTCTCGCTGTCTCTCTCTCTCTCTCTGTCAAAATAAATAAATAAAATCTTTTAAAAAATGTATCTTAGATGGTATCTACTGTTCATTTCTTGCTTTTTAAAGGAAAAGAATTAAAGATATTTGTGTAGTAGTCTGAGTGCAAAATCATTGTGGATTTTTATGATTTTCACATAAGTAAATAATAATCATAATTTCCCATGTTTTCCCAGTGTTTCTGATACCACCTGTCTACAACTAATTTGACTTCTCTTCTTTTAGTGACATACCTTTATTGGTTCTTCTTATAGAGACAATTTTTCTTATACTTCATTCAATGGCATCATAGTTTATTTCCTTACATAATTCCAGTTACCACTATAATAGACATCAACTGGTTTGGGAAATACTACTGTGGCTCAGTTGAAAGGAATCTATTTACTCTGAGTGTTCAGAATGTTGTATTAGTTACTTTGTTTCAGAGAGGATTGAGAAAGCTTCCATTTTATACACCCACACCAAGGCTTCTGTTAAAAGGTTTTTATTATTCTCTTACTATAAATAATTTAAGCTTACTATAAAAATGTCAAAAATATAAACTAGTGGAAAAATATTCATAATTCTTTTTTTTAAGACTTATTTATTTGAGAGAGAGAGAGCATAGCAGGGGGAGGGGCAGAGGGAAAGAGAGAGGGTATCTCAAGCAGACTCCCCGCTGAGCAAAGAGCCCAACAGTGGTGGGGGTGAGGGGCCTCAATCCCACAACCCTGAATTCATGACCTGAGGGAAAATCAAGAGTCAGACACAACTGACTGAGCTACCCGGCCACCCCTATTCACAATTCTAAGATGTAAAGTTACCAATGCATTTTTTTCCCCATGGATAATTTAATATGTTATATTTATACTATAATCATTTTGTGTATATAATTTTGCATCCTGATTTTTCACTTAACATTTTAATGAGAAAGTTTTGTATTATCACAGACCCTTTTGTTATCAGGTTTTTAGTGTTATATGACAGTTTTAGTAGGTACATCAAAATTTATTTAGTTGTAATCCTCTTATAAAGTTAGGTTGTTTTAAAGTGTTACTGTTTTGAAATAGCACTGCATTAGAAATGTTTGTTCATATTTTTTTTACTGAAGTGTAATTGACACACAATGTTATATTAGTTTCAGGCATACAACATAGTAATTCAACACTTCTATATATTATGCAGTGCTCACCACGATAAATGTAGTTACCATCTGTCACCATACAAGTTTATTACAATATTATTAATTCCTTATGCTGTGCTTTTCATCCCCGTGACATATTTGTAACTGGAGGTTTGTACCTCTTAATCCCCTTCCCCTATTTTGCCCTTCCTCCCACCTCCCTCCCCCTGGCAATCACCAGTTTGTTCTCTGTATTTACGGGTCTGTTTCTTGTTTGTTTGTTTTGTTTTGTTTTTTAGATTCCACATATAAGTGAAATCATATGGGAATTGTCTTTCTCTGTCTGACTTATCACTTAGCATAAGACTCTCTAGATCCATTCATCCTTTCACAAACGGCAAGATTTTATTCTTTTTTATGACTGAGTAATATTCCATTATAGATGTATACTACATCTTCTTTATTCATCTATTGCTTTTGTATCTTGGTTTTTATAAATAATGCTACAATAAACATAGGGATGCATGTATCTTTTTTAACTAGTGTTTTCATTTTTGTTGAGTAAATACCCAACACTGGAATTACTGGATTATATGGTATTTCTATTTTTAATTTTTTTTCAGGAATCTCCATATTGTTTTCCAGAGTGGCTGCACCGATTTACATTTCCACCAGCAGTCACATGGTTTCCTTTCTTTCCACATTCTCATCAACACTTGTTACTTATTGTATTTTTTATGCTAGTCATTCTGACAGGTATAAAGTGACATTGTGGTTTTAACGTCCCTTTTCCTGATGATTTAATGATGCTGAGCATCTTTTCATGTGTCTCTTGGCCATCTGTATGTCTTCTTCGGGAAAGTATCTATTCAGGTCCTCTGACCGTTTTAATCAGATATTTGTGGGGTTTTGTTGTTGTTGTTCTTTTCACTAATTTTATCTTATTTTCTTAAAGATAAATTCTTAGCAGTTTTTAATAGTGAATATAAAGATATCTTGGGGTCTTCTGGTATATATTGCCACATTGCTTTCCAAAGGAGTGCTTTTATTTATAGCCCCATTAGAACTACATGGATATACTTGCTTTATTACATCCTTCCTAGCTTTGGATTTCTTTGTTTTTGAAATGTTATATATATGAATATATCATTTTAATTGTATTCCTTCCATTATTGAGGTTATGGTGTTACAAAAAAGCACTTCTATTTTCTTCTTACAAAAGTTTTAACATTTTTCTTATTGATAGATATCTAATTTTAAGTAATTTAGCGATGATTTTGAAAGTTTAGGAGCCTACACTATTGAAAGACAAGTAGAGATGTATATAAGATACATTTTTTACGTATTTAGAATCCTTAAAAATATACGCAGTGGATTTATTTCTGTCAGTGAACCAGAATTCATCTGACTGGTTTAAATCCTTTCCTCTTGGGGCTTTGAAAGATTATTGGGTACAATGGAAATCAATTTACCAACATGTTTTTGATACCTGCTCTGTGCTTGTAATATGATAGGTCTTAGCAGATGTATAGCAAACGGGAGACCTAGAGACTGATCCATATAAAGCGTGAAGCATTGTCCTTGGCCTGCTAAACAAATGTTCTTGTGTTTAAGATGTGGGCTTACAGTCTGTTGGGGAAATAACACACATTGTACAAGTAGCATGAAGGAAAAATATTATTTATTACCTATAATGTTTTGTTACCTTCTAAGAAAGATGGGCCCAGGGGTGGTTTTTAGTTTATTGAGTGTGGTGGTTTTTAAGTGTGAAGATGCAAATTAGAGAAACTGAGGTAGGGCCAGATTGCCTTACAAAGTAGAAAGAATTTAGAGCTCTAGGAAAACAAGGCATGGAGTAGAACCTGGAGCATGCTGAAGGAGGCTGGGAAGAAAAGTTTGGAACTGGAGGGTGGTGTAAAGAAGAGGTTTTTTGGATAGAGATATCATGCATTTGAAATGCGATGCAGTATATGATGGCTGTGATTTCCATCTCCTCGAACAATCTTTAGTAGCATTTCTTGCATGGTAGGGATTGCATGATGTGACAAACATGGATTGCACGAGAGAATCACCAAAGGGAGAAAAGGAGTTATCAAGGGGAACCCTGTAACTTGGTTTCAAGTTAAATACAATGACTGCTCAGAAGATTGAAAAGAATTAGAAAGATGGTTCAAGGACAGAAAGAAGCATTAA